GTCCTGTATAGATGCTAACCTTTCTTTCATTCATTCATTCATTCATTCATTCATTCATTCATTCATTCATTCATTCTTTCTTTTTTAGCTGGGCTTTTTCAAACGTTCCCTTCCTTACGGCACAGCCATGGAGAAAGCTCAGCTGAAACCACAAGCAGCTTCAGAGGCCTAGCAAGTCAATGTTGCCCTCTATGTATGTGTGTTGCTGCTGCCACCGCCCTGCGAAGAGGCACTCGGATCGCCCATCAAGAGCACTGGGGAAGAGGAAGGATTCCAACCAACACCAGCAAGGCGTAGAAGGGCAGGGCCACAGACACTGGGCCCCTTGGACGACTGCAGGGTTCCGTGCGCCAAGCACCTCTGCTTTCCCTCCGTGAAAGAGGCTCCAACCTTGACACTAAGTGCCCTCCTTTCCCAGCCACTCCCGTCCCCTGAGGCTTGGATCATACCAACAACTTGTGTCCTGAACTCTGAGGGCTGCAGCAGGCATTCGCTTCCAGCCCAAGGGAATACTTGAAGCCGCTAGAGCGGCAGGTGCTGGCCTGATTTCAGGCCCCTTAAGTCAAGCTGTCTGTTCCGTCCATCTGCGGGGAAGGGATTGTCGTCGTGGACAGTTCTCAAGCTGCCGGTCTTCTTTAGATTGACACAGCTTGGCTGAAAAAAACGAAAGGAAACAAAAAATAAAAGCACAATCACCTCCTGAGTCCAGCTCTTTGTCCTCCATGGGCCAAAATGGAGGATCCTGGGCTCTCTCTCTCTCTCTCTTTCTCTCCTTTCCGGTCTTCCCCGGTTTGCTTCCTGTGGAGGACAACATGGGGCAGAGACTTTATCTGGGAAAGCAGGATGCTCCCACAATGCCAAAGATTTGCCACATTAGGAAGCCAAGCCATCACCCGGTGTCGGCCCGGACTCGCCGACGGTCTTCGCACTGATCTCCGGAAACCGCTTGAGATGTTTTATTTTTCAGATGCCACTTTAATGAAAAGAAGAAGGAATGAGGAAGCGAGGGCCACCTCTTGGTAGCAGAGACAGGGGTTGCTGTTTTAATTTAAAATGTCCAATGTGCAATAAATGCTTCCCTATTTTCTACTTTTGTCTACTTACTTAGTAAATGTTAGCACCATGTGGTTGGCTATGGGTGATACAGTCTCTAGAACTACTTGTTTCTGCCCAACAGAGTTAGAATTTTGATGGTGTAAATGAACAGGTAGGTGGAGTCATGTAAAAGAAACAGATGAGAACTTTGGTCGAATCATTATTTGGGATGGTTATGAAGACAGTCTTGCAAAACCAGAATGCAGAAGCCATTTTGGGATGCCCTGTGAAATCTTCTCTCCCTTGGCATTCTTGTTATGTGTCCCCAATTAATATATGACCTAATATGGAAGTGAAACATAGCTGTGCAAGTATATCTTTTTAAGTATTTTAAAAAGCAACATAACATGGGACAAGTCAGCTGGATGGAATCAAACACAACAGGAAAACGAGCCGTAAGAATATAATGCAGAGCTGAGTAACAAATAGGAATAGAGCATGATAAAGCTATTTGAGCCGTGAAAGTGCTTCAAAATACTGATCTTGGTTTTTCCAAATGAGAATATTGAGAGCAGGTTTGGAATATTCCTCATCAGAGCTTCAGGGATGGACCTGTGCAAATCTATTTTTTAGGCTTTTGTGGAAAAGCATGAAAACATCACATTTTTTGCCGAATAGACATGTTGGACCTCAACCAATAGCAAAATAACAAAAGGGAAGGGAAAGGCCAATAAAAGCAAGATGTGTCAGTGGCCAAATCACAGACTGCATAGGCTGTGTTAATTAATTCAATTACATCAAATGTGTGAACTTACTCCAGTAAATAAGTTTGATGACATGTTTCCTGCAGAGCTTTAAACTGTCTAATTCAGAATGTGCTTGAATAGTTAGGCAGCATTATTTATTCCTTACGTAGCCTCATGGGGATGGATGTGCATTATTTCTGGTTACTGAAGTCAGCCTGATACACCGATCACAAGTCTCCTTGTGGCAAAGTGGAAACTCTAAATAATCAGTAAGTTGGTTCATATGTGGTGTACGTGAAGCCTTCATGAGAATCATTTGGGTTGGGTTGGGTTGGGTTGGCAGATTGAACCCAGTCAATGGGTTTTGTCCAAAAATCATAATGAAATATGTCTTAAGTGCTAGTAAGTCGTATCCCAAATTAAGACTTGAATACAATTACCTCTGTAGCATCCCCATAATTGTGTGATCAAAATTCAGATGTTTGGCAGTTGGTTCATATTTATGACCGTTGCTGTGCTCCAAGGTCATGTGATCCCCTTCTCACAAGCCAAGTTAATGGGGAAGCCAGATTCACTTAACAACTGGGTTACTCACTATCAACGGCAGTGATTCACTTAACAATTGGGGCAAAACAAATTCTTTCACTTAACAATAAATGTTGGGCTCCATTGTGGTCATTAAGTCCAGGACTACCTGTAATACCATGGTGCTCTAGACAGCTAAAAATTATTCTGGGTGTTATGCTATAACTTTCCATCACAACAAACATTCCCTCTTGATAAGCCTTGCTTAGAACTTCTAGATCAGTGATGGCGAACCTCTTCTCATGTGGAAACATCACACAGGCTCTGGAAAAGCCGAACCTCCGGGTTTTAGCGCACATGCACACCAATCAGCTGGCTTGCACACATGTGCAGGCCAGTTTTTGGCACTGTCGCGTGCACAAAGGGATCACACTCCTGGAAAAGCCGGACTTTGGGTTCTGGTGCACATGTGCATCTGACAATCAGCTGGCCGGTGTACATGCTGTGCGCATGAAGGACAATGGATTGTCACACACACATGCACACCAGAAACTTGGAAGACAAACAGGCAAGGCCGCGCGTGCCAGTTGACATGGTGTTCCACATTTGGCACGAGTGCCATAGGTTCACCGACACGGTTCTAGATGTGCACAAGCAGGGAAGGTTTTTATTTGAAAAAAAAATGTTTTGTCAACCCTNTGGTTACTGAAGTCAGCCTGATACACCGATCACAAGTCTCCTTGTGGCAAAGTGGAAACTCTAAATAATCAGTAAGTTGGTTCATATGTGGTGTACGTGAAGCCTTCATGAGAATCATTTGGGTTGGGTTGGGTTGGGTTGGCAGATTGAACCCAGTCAATGGGTTTTGTCCAAAAATCATAATGAAATATGTCTTAAGTGCTAGTAAGTCGTATCCCAAATTAAGACTTGAATACAATTACCTCTGTAGCATCCCCATAATTGTGTGATCAAAATTCAGATGTTTGGCAGTTGGTTCATATTTATGACCGTTGCTGTGCTCCAAGGTCATGTGATCCCCTTCTCACAAGCCAAGTTAATGGGGAAGCCAGATTCACTTAACAACTGGGTTACTCACTATCAACGGCAGTGATTCACTTAACAATTGGGGCAAAACAAATTCTTTCACTTAACAATAAATGTTGGGCTCCATTGTAGTCATTAAGTCCAGGACTACCTGTAATACCATGGTGCTCTAGACAGCTAAAAATTATTCTGGGTGTTATGCTATAACTTTCCATCACAACAAACATTCCCTCTTGATAAGCCTTGCTTAGAACTTCTAGATCAGTGATGGCGAACCTCTTCTCATGTGGAAACATCACACAGGCTCTGGAAAAGCCGAACCTCCGGGTTTTAGCGCACATGCACACCAATCAGCTGGCTTGCACACATGTGCAGGCCAGTTTTTGGCACTGTCGCGTGCACAAAGGGATCACACTCCTGGAAAAGCCGGACTTTGGGTTCTGGTGCACATGTGCATCTGACAATCAGCTGGCCGGTGTACATGCTGTGCGCATGAAGGACAATGGATTGTCACACACACATGCACACCAGAAACTTGGAAGACAAAAGGCAAGGCCGCGCGTGCCAGTTGACATGGTGTTCCACATTTGGCACGAGTGCCATAGGTTCACCGACACGGTTCTAGATGTGCACAAGCAGGGAAGGTTTTTATTTGAAAAAAAAATGTTTTGTCAACCCTGGGCTGTTCATGGAATGTTAACATATGCTAACATTTGTCTTCTTGAGCAACCATGTGTCAGGAGAGGACCAGTTAAAAATGAAATGTTTGCAAGAAAACAAGCAAGTTCAAAAGAACACCAACCCTCCTTCTTCATTAATATTTTCCTCTGCCAGCGAGTGGGAGTTTATTGTAGCCTTTACCCAACTCAAGCCTCCTTTAACATGTTACCCTCTTGGTGCCCTAGAGAGAGGGAGGGGGCTTCCAATAAAGCACCAAGTAACTGGAATAACGTTTCTAAGAAAAGGTGACTCGGTAGCTAAGACGCTGAGCTTGTCTTATCAGAAAAGTCAGCCGTTCGGTGGTTCAAATCCCTAGTGCTGCTAGTGAGCTCCCGTTACTTGTCCCAGCTTCTGCCAACCTAGCAATTCGAAAGCATGTAAAAATGCAAGCGGAAAAACAGGAACCACCTTTGGTGGGAAGGTAACAGTGTTCTGCGTGCCTTCGGTGTTTAGTGGCTCTTCAGCTTTGAAATGGAGATGAGCACTGCCCCCTAGAGTCAGGAACGACTAGCACATATATGCGAGGGGAACCTTACCTTCTAAGAAAAGGTGGACCATTGTGTTATTTTTGAGTATGGTCCCTCAGAACACTAGCTTTGCCCTTCACCATCGAATAAGATACTAGTTTCATAATCCATGTGAAATGATGCTTTAAAAGCACAAGGAGCATGACATCCCTAAGGGGACATGACCCAGCCATGTGCACCTTTTTAAATCCTGTGTCATTGAGAATTAATTTCCATTGGTTAACCTTGGGAACAAATCTTAACTGCAATGTATGAGCATTTGCACAGGGAGCAACCTCAGTGGGCCTTAATGTCAAGAGAACTTTTGAGGGGGCTGGTTGTCTCCCCTTCCCAAATTCCTAAATGCAGGGCTGTTAACAATCTATTTGTGCTCTGAAAGCACCGAATGCTTTTTGTTTTTAGCAGACGAATGATTGGATTTCTTCTGCTTTTCCATTCATCCTTTATCTTGGGCCTTCCCATGAGTAAACGAAACACAGACTGAAAAGTTAAGTCATTTAATATCAAAGATTGGAAGAAAACCTTTTTATTTCAAATAAAATGAAAACAATGTGAAGTTCTTAAAAAAAATCTTCATGGAACTAGCTTGCTTTGTGCTTCTGCCCAACTCGGCTCCCACTTTACCCTCCTCTTCCTAGCATCCCAATCGGGTGCACTGCAAAGCTCCCATCTTCTTTAGATAGCTAGTGTGAGAATTGCTGTCTCCAGTGTTAAGACTTGGGTGGATTTTTCCAAATCCCCATCCTTCAAAATAAAATGTTTCCAAGCCTTTGTTTTGATTGAAAATTTGACCTAAACACTATGCAAAACAGCAAGAGGGGTGAATAATACAACAGGGCAGCTTTTAAATGATGTGAAAACTACAAACCAATTCTTGAGGTGTCCATCTCTACATATAGTGGTCTAAAAAAGAGTTAATACTTGCTGATCCTAGCTTGGGAAAGCCGGTTTCCTGCCTTCTTTTCAACAGCTGCCCCTCTACTGATGGGAAAGTGTCAAAACCATGAGATCCCTTGGGGGAGAGCAAGTGTCTTTTTCCTCCCTGATCACATCTCATGCAAGTCAGTGGCAATGGTTTGTGGTTTTCTAAAAGCAGCTGTGGACTTCCCAGTTGCAGCTGGACTCCCAAGTCCCACCAGCCTCCTCCAGCATGGCCAGGAAAGGGCTGATGGGAGCTGTAGTCCACCAGTATCTGACAAACATAAATTCTTCCTTCTAGAGAAAAAAAAACAAAGTTCGGCAAGAGAACAAAGGCATTTCTTCCCTCTCTTCTAACCTGTGGCTCATCTTCTTAGCTAAATTAGGTAAGGCTTATTGGATTCAGGCACTTTTAAAACCGTGAGTGGTTCCATTGCTCAAGACCCCCACAGAGCTAGTTTGACAGCACATCGGAGGATTCAGACACCAGCTTTCCATCGCGGGTCTCGATCTTCTTGATGACAATAGCCTTGGTCTTGGTGCTGACAGCTGAACTCTCCATGGGCAATGTATTTATGGAATATCCACCACTTGAGTAGGAAGAGCCGTAGCCACCTCCGTAATTGCCGTAGCTGCTGCTCAGGCCACCTGGAAAAGATAGAGAACACTGGTAAAGGAGAGAAGAGCAGTTTCCAGCACTTGGTATCTTGGTTTTCGCTTTTATCTCCAAATCTAGAAATTGGAAGCGTGGCACAGTAAGAAGCGGGTTATATGCATGGATTTTCCTCATTCCTTTCCCAGATGCAGAGGAGACCCTCTCCTGCTACCTTGTCCAGTTATAGTGGCATCCTTTGCCATGCCAAATTCCCTAAGGTGAGGACTGGGAGATGAAAGGAATAAATATAAAGGTAAAGGTTTCCCTCTCACATATGTGCTAGTCATTCCAAACTCTAGGGGGTGCTGCTTGTCTCCGTTTCAAAGCCAAAGAGCCAGCGTTGTCCAAAGACATCTCCGTGGTCATGTGGCCAGCATGACTAAATGCCAAAGGTGCACAGAACGCTGTTACCTTCCCACCAAAGGTGGTTCCTATTTTTCTACTTGCATTTTTACATGCGTTCCAACTGCTTGGTTGGCAGAAGCTGGAACAAGTAATGGGAGCTCACGCCTTTACGCGGCACTAGGGATTTGAACCGCCAAACTGCCAACCTTTCTGATCAACAAACACAAGTGTCTTAGCCACTGAGTCACGTTGTCTACACCTGAGATTAAAATAGACTGGGTTTTCCCTACTGCTCTCATCTTACAGCCCGTAGACCTCAACTTACAACAGTTCACTTTATGACCAGTTGAAGTTAAATGGCCTGGGAAAAGTGAGCTACGACTTTGTTCACCCAACCATTGCAGTGTCTCTGTTGGCACAGGATCAAAATTCAGACGCTTAGCAACTCATGAGGGTTCAGGTGTCCCAGGGTCAGGTCCTCACCCTTTGTGACCTTCTGACAAGCCAAGTCAATGGCTGAGCCTGATTCACTTAACCTTGTTACTAATTTTAACAACTGCAGTGATTCACTTAGCAAGGAAGTCCTAAAATGGGGTATAAAACTCACTTAATGACTGTTTTGCTTAGCAAAAGTAACGTTGGGCTCAATTGTGGTTGTAAGGTGAGGACCACCTGCACTTCTCCTCCCAGTTGAAGACCCATAGGGAAGAGGAAAGGATAAGTAGCAGGCCATTTCTCCAAGCTTAGGGGAGCAGATACAGGCTCATATTTTGTTTTGATTCTCTACACACAGAAATACACACTTTGTGCCCATATCTTCCTCATGTGGCACTGTACAACTGCACCAAATTTCTGGAAATCAACCATTTAAAAACTTGAACAATGAGGTCTCAGAATTGCCAATGGTGGGGGCGGGAGATAAGACAACAAAATTTGGCACACCAAATGCTACTTCGGTCTTTGTTCACTTGCTGCTCTCCAAATGTATTGGACTGTGAATTTTATCAGCTTCTCATCCAGTTGGAGATCATCAAAATGGAGTTCAACACATTTGGAAGACACCAGGTTGATGAAAGCTGTTCTGAACAACCTCCAACTGCAGATGCTTGCAAGCTGCATCTTTTAGACCAGTGTTTCTCAACCTTGGCAACTTGAAGATGTCTGGACTTCAACTCCCAGAATTCCCCAGCCAGCATTCGCTGGCTGGGGAATTCTGGGAGTTGAAGTCCAGACATCTTCAAGTTGCCAAGGTTGAGAAACACTGTTTTAGACAAGCAATGGACAGACCCTGCTTCCAGCCTCTTTTTCTGCCAGTTAATGGCACAGCTCCCACATTGACACTTGAAATTTCCATCCATTTAAAAAGAAAAGGTCACACACCAATTTTAAATTTTGGAAAAATCAATCTACTATCCATAAAGTCTCAAAAAAACTGCTCGAGCAATTGCTTGCAACATAATCTTATCATGGGTACATCCTTGCAACTACTTTATGCTAAAGCCAGTCTCCAGCTTTGATCTTTAAAGTATCTCTGGAGGATAAATAATTTCACAGTGCCTATTTTTTATCACTATTATTTCTGCAAAGTAAGAGAGGTTTTTTTTTTTTAATGCAGAAAACTAGTTTTCTCTACCCTGTACACTCTAGATCTACTGGAACAAAGCTCAGGGATGGGGAAAGCTGCAAGGAACAGATGCCAAGAGTGGCAAGATGGATGGCAAACAAATTTAATAAAAAATAATAATTTAAAAAATAAACTATTTGTTGCCCAGGCAAACTGATGGTTTGTCCTCTTGTTTGTCTTCATACTGGCTCTTATTTCTCTGGCAACTAATCTGCAGTGATTTTCAACTGCCATGGGAAGTAAGAAAACTTAAGAAAAAAAACTAATAAAATAGGACTTGGGTGGCATCACTTAAAGCCATAAAATCCAACCCTCAACTCAGGGAAGAAATCCAACTTCATATGCTGAAGTAGTATTACAGCTTTGATTGATTACACATCGTTTTGTAAAATAGAGGAAGTGAATTAATTTTATTTCACTTCCTCTATGGAAAAAAATTCGTCAGAAGACAAGCCATTCCTTGTTAAGATCAGCGTTAAGTATCAAGTTAAACAGGTTCCCAAATGAAAGCAAGGGAAATAAACATCACGTAACAGTGTTGAAACACGTTGAGATCTAACTCGGCAATCAAATATTTTTATATATCGCACGCCACCCAGCATTGCAATTATGCGAATTGGGCGGCTGTCTTCTAAATCTTCTAAATAAATACAGGATTCCCTGCTCTGGTTAATTTCTGACATTTGCATTGATATCTTGATCACCCCTCCCCCTCTTCTTCAACATGCGACATTTCCTTACCTGAATAACCAGTTGTCTTGGTCTGAATGCTGAGATTCTGCATTCCAGATTCCAGTCTGTTAAAAAAGAGGAAGGGTTGGGGAAGAGTCCCCCCCACCCCAAAAATAAATCAGTCAAGAAATGATATTAAGTCAGACAAAATGCAAGTCTGACAGAACAAGTTCCTACAGCCAAGTTGAATTTGAAACAGTTTCTTGATGCATCAAGGATCTCAATCCCAGTGTTATATGCTAGCGTGGATCACTATAGAGCAGGAGTCTCTAACTTTGGCAACTTTAAGATTTGTGGACTTCAACTCCCAGAATTCCTCAGCTTTGCTGGCTGAAGAATTCTGGGAGCTGAAGTCCACAAGTCCACATATGTTGGGCCAATCCTTACCTGAACTCCTCTCCTTCCAGCAGCTTCCTGTAGGTGGCAATCTCTATATCCAGGGCCAGCTTGGTGTTCAGCAGCTCCTGATAATCCCGCAGCTGACGAGCCATGTCTTGTTTGGCTCGCTGCAAGGCACCATCCAATTCGGCCAGCTTGTTGTTGGCATCCTTCACGGCCAGCTCCCCACGCTCCTCTGCTTCAGTGATTGCCGCTTCCAAGCTTGCACGCTGTACGGGAGCAGGGAAGAAAGAGTTGAAATAGCAGCTCAGGTCTCAAAACCCAGGAAAAAGGCAGCGGGTGGAGAGGATACGGCTGTTATCCAATATTCTCACCCTTCTGTGATACGGGCAATTAAGAGACAACGGACAGATTTTTCCCTAGAAATACAGTCTAAAATTAAGGAATGAGAACTGTCTCTTCCCAGATGAGGATAACTATACTTGATCAAAGCACAATTAATTATAATTGGATTGAGTGACTCCTGTTCTTTCATATCTCCTCCAAAGAAGGTGAAAGCCACAAGCAAGGTTCTTTACCCAATCCCTTCCTTTTATTTGTGCAAAAAAACATTGACACTATAGATATTAAGGTGAGAAACTGTGCAGACCCCCAGAATAACCATATTCCACCTATCATAGGTGGAAATAACAGGGATTAGCCTGAATAAAATGCAGAGAATGATGCAGCAGAGGTGGTATTCAGCAGGTTCTGACCAGTTCTGGAGAACTGGTAGCGAAAATTTTGAGTAGTTCGGAGAACCGGTAAATACCACCTCTGACTGGCCCTGCCCCCATCTATTCTTTGCCTCGCGAGTCCCAGCTGATCAGGAGGGTCCTGTGGGTGGGTGCCGAAATAACTGAGGCGCAGACAGGAATAAAGGCTAACAAGTTTATTCCTTTAACAGCTGTGGTTTCCACCTGACAGCTCCCTTTTATACCGAACTGTCT